GAGTCAAATACCTCTTCTCTTGCTCTTTGCTCCCTCCGCTTTGGTTGTTAGTTTGTGGGGGGGGGGGGGGGGGGGGGGGTTTCACTAATGCCACAGGTTTGGAAAAGAAGCTCTTCTTTGACACAACCCCAGTCAACGGGATTTTTCAAGATTATCTGGAACTCAGATTCTAAGAGAGATGTGTCAATATTCCATAATACACATTTTTCTTTGAATAGCATCAGCTTCAAGCATTTGCCTTGGGTCAGAATAAGCATTACCAGAGCCAAAAGTAAGCCACAGGTTTTAGTTTCTGAAACCTGTATTGCATTTACAGTAAGTTAAAATTAACTGAAAAGAAAACTGCTTAAAGATGGATGCTACATCTCCAGAGCTGTAGTAAGGAAACATGATCCATATTCACCCAGGGCCTGATTCCAATGTCCTTTCCCCCCCCAGCCCCGCCTTCCTCAAGAGATACAAGGTTTTTACCAATGTTTTACCAAAGTCTTTCTGATTATTAAATTATAATGCTTGCTGCTGGAAAAAACAATCTGGCCTTTTAATCTCACCTGGAGAAGAGGAGTGTGAACGTGCGACACTACGTGAGGGAGCCTTCGCCATTCCCGAATGGCTAAACTGCTTGCCATTTCTACCAGGCGCTCAATAAAGTTAAGTTGCTGTTCTTCAGGATGGCAGATTGCCAGGTATCCTCTGTACATGTTGACTTTCCATGCCATCTCTTTTGGGCAGCTTAACTCCACCTAGTAACGAAACAAAATTTGGTGAAGAAAAACTTTTTTTTGCTTAGACGCAAGAAAATTTGGAAAGTCCTCCAGGTCTCTTCACTAACATACACAGAATATATAGACAAAAAAAGTCACACTTGCCTATATGCAAAGTTGTCAGTGAATGTCAAAACCAGAGAGGACCAACCTTTTTTTGGCACATGCGCCATAAAATTAGCCCCGCAGGCGCCACACGTGCCCCTCCAGTTCACTGCTCTGCTTTCTGCTCCCAGCCCAACGTGCTGCTCTCTGCACTATCTGCTACCTGTCCCATCCCTGACCAACCCTGTCACACACAGACTGCCTGTGCCACTTGTGGCACACATGCTACAGGTTGGCCACCCCTGGTCTAAATTATTAAATGCAGTATAATGTAGATGTACCTCAGCTAGTTTGGAAACTGGTAGCAGCAAGATGTGCCAGCAAAGAGCTCAATGCAGACTAATTTTCCCCCTCAAGGAGAACAAATTAGCCTGAACTGCCAAAGGCAGACTGTTTCTAGTAGAAAAGCTAGCTGAGGCAAATCTGCAGTTTAGATACACCAGGCACACACGGGAAACCACTAGGAGAAAGAGAGGGCTTTCCTCCTAAAATTTCAGTTAATCGTGCTAGATACAGTGGGTAATTTAGAGAAAGTTTATTTTC